TCTCATTATTTTAGGGAAAACCTCTCCTTTCTCTACATCCCCTAATGAACTTTCAACTTTGTAAATATCTGCAAGCAAATAATAAAGGTAAATTGGAATCAAACAAGCCCTGCAATTAATCCAAAAGAAGAAAAATGAGAACAAAGTATCAAAGGAGATGTGAGACAAACTGAAAACAAACAACAAGATAGCAGGTTTGACCTCAACTAATATTTATATTAAACGTAAATGGTCTAAACAATCCAACCGAAATGCAGAGGCTATCAGATTGTATGAAAAGGCAAGGCATGATGTGCTGTCTGCAAGAAACCAACTTGAGATACAAAGCCCCAGACAGGTTAAAGCAAAGAGATGAAGGGGAGCCTGGGGGGCTCAGTCGGTTGGGCGTCCGACTTCGGCTCAGGTCACGATCTCGCGGTCTGTGAGTTCGAGCCCCGCGTCGGGCTCTGGGCTGACAGCTCGGAGCCTGGAGACTGCTTTGGATTCTGGGTCTCCCTCTCTCTGTTCCTCCCCCGCTCATGATCTGTCTCTCTCTCAAAAATAAATAAAGAATAATAAAAAAAAAAAAAACTTTTTTTAAAGCAAATACTGTAATACTGCCTTGCTGGGTTTACAGTGTGTATGGACCACAAGGGCACAAAGTTGAGGGGGGCAGGGGAGATAAATGGAAATGTACTGTTGCAATGTTCCTGCATGTTCCTCGAGTCATTCACTAGTAACCTCAACTAAGCTGCAGTAAATTAAAGATGCACAGTGAAATCCCCAGAACCACCCTGAACCATGATGGTGTTTTCCGTGGCCCCGGGGAAAAGCTTGTGAAATACACTAAGCAAAAAGTGGAGAAAAACAACATCGTATCAGGGGTATAATCCTAAATACACAGGGGCACCTGGGTGGCCCAATCGGTTAAGTATCCTGCCTTTGATTGAGGCTCAAGGTCATGATCTCATGGTTCACGAATTCGAGCCCCAAGTCAGGCTCTGCACGGACAGTGTGGACTGGGATTCTCTCTCTGTCTCTCTCTCTCTCTCTCTCTCTCTGTCCCTCCCCCACTAGCTCACTCTCCCTCTCTCTCTCTCTCAAAATAAATAAATTAAAAAAAAAAAAAACAACTACATACCGAAATCCTAAATATATAAAAGGAACATAAAAAGGCTAAAAAGAGGGGCGCCTGGGTGGCTCAGTTAAGCGTCTGACTTCAGCTTGGGTCCTGATCTCACAGTTCACGAGTTTGAGCCCCACATCGGGCTCTGTGCTGACAGCTCGGAGCCTGGAGCCTGCTTCGGATTCTGTCTCCCTCTCTCTCTGCCCCTCCCCTGACTTCGGCTCAGGTCGTGATCTCACAGTTTGTGGGTTCGAGCCCCACGTCCGGCTCTGGGCTGATAGCTCGGAGCCTGGAGGCTGATTCGGATTCTGGGTCTCCTTCTCTCTCTGCCCCTCCCCTGTTCGCACTCTGTCTCTCCATCTCTCTCAAAAATAAATAAAACATTAAAAAAAAAAAAAAGGCCAAAAAGAAATACACGGTCATGTGAATGAGATTATGGAATCATTTCTTTCCTGCTGTTCCATGCCTGACAAAAATTGCTTACAGAGAGCATGTGTTGCTTTAGAGGGAGATGTGCGAAACAGGAAAATGAAAGAAAAATGAGTGGGAGGGAAGAGGAGAAAAAAACAAGAAGGGAGAGAGGACGGGCCAGAGGGACCGAAGGGAGGCATGTGGCAGGGCGTCCTGCAGAGGGAGCACAGAGTGGCACGTGCAAGCCGGGAGCTCCCCCCCCCTCCCCGCCCCCCCAGGGCACCGTTCAACGTAGGCTGACGGCGACCTGCCAGGACAGGGCATCCCGGGAACTTGCAGCAGAAGGACACCTACCTGTCCAACAGTCCGCACCCCTAGCTGCACCCTCTGGGCTCATTACGACCCCAGGGCAAAGGGAGGCGGGCTGCCAGCTATTCAGTAACAGCAGCAACCCGATCGAGCCCTTGCAGCTGTGCAAGCCCCCCCACCCCCGCCCCTGCCGTGACCTGTTTCTGAGATTCATCAAAATGACGGAGTCGGGGAAATTTCTGGCCCTACCTCCTTAGAACCGGACCTCTCTGAGTCAGTGCTGCTGCCCAAGACCGGGCCGGGTCAGCGGAAGGGAAGGTTAAGAAGTTCCCCAGAGTGACGTGGTTTGGCTCCATCCGAAAAGGAGCCGACTCCGGTGTGTGTCCGGCTTCCCAGAATTCTTAATCAAGCTCAGCTGGCCTGCTGTGTTTACCTGGGGCACGTCGGAGTTTTATTTTCTTCATCTATCCTAAGAGGCACCACGAAAAGGGCACCGTGTTGGAGTCTTTGCCACAGCGCTTCCTTGCTGTGTGCCCTTGGGAAAGTCACTTCCCTTCTCTGGGCCTCACTCTTCCTGCCTCTCAATGAGGTTCGTGAGCACGATCTACCCCACAGGGCTGCGGGGCAGCTACACGAGAGGACCGTGAAGTGCTTAGGACCTGGTGAGTGCCCGATGTGGAGCGTGCACGCACGCGTTTAATGAGCGGTGGCACTCGCCGTGAGTATTAAAAATAGAGATTCTTGGCTGTGCACGCATTCACTCCCTACATGAGTCATGCTCTGTGAGTGAGCAGCAGGAAGGAAATAACAAAGATGAAAGGCAAAAGTCAATGACACTGGAAAGAGAAAAGGAGAAAAAAGCAATGAAACCAGAAACTGGTACTTTAAAAAAGACCAATAAAACTGGACAGACTTCTAGCACGATTGACAAAAAGGGGGGGGGGGGGGAGACACCCATGACCGATACCCAGAATAAAAGGGGCCTATGACCAGACCTCACGGACACTAACAGGGTAATGTGAGAACACTTTAAGTATCTCTATGCACATAAACTCAACGATGCAGATGAATGAGAAAAATTCCCGATAAAGCACAGACGACCAGAACGCATCCAAGATGAACCAGTCGCCCACGAGTCCTATTTCTTGGACTGTATCTTAAAGAAACTGAACTTGTAGCTAAAGACAAGAAATCTTCAGGCCCAGATGGTTTTACTGGTGAATTCTCCCAAATATTTAAAGAAGAAACAACACCAATCCTACACCAGTGTCTCCCAGAAAATAAAAGAGAAAGAAATCCTCGTCAATTGATGTCGTGAGACCAGTATTATTCTGACGCCCAAACCATACGAAAACAGGACAATGTACAGACCAGTGTGTATCATGAACACAGACACAAAACTCTTCAACACATATTAGCAAACTGAATCCAGCATTACATAAAAAATAGAATCTACCGTGACCAAATGGTGTTTATCCCAGGAGTGCAAGGCTGGCAACGTATTAGAAAAGGAAAAATAAACCGACATACTCCATCGTATTAACAGACTAAGAAGAAAACACACGATCATATCAAAATTGGGGTAGAACAAAAAAAAAGAAAAAAAAAAATTGGTGCAGAACAGCATTTGACAAAATTCAACACCCGTTCATGATAAAAACGCGCAGAAAGCAGAGAGAAGGGAACTTCCTTAATGTGACTAAGGACGTCTACAAAAATTCCTTAGTTAGCATATACCTGATTATACCTGATGGAGAGAGACCAAGTGACCTCCCGTAGATTCGGAAACAAAATACACACACACACACACACACACACACACACACACACACACACACACTCTTACCATTCCTAAGCTACATTTTTAAAATTTTTTTTTCAACGTTTTTATTTATTTTTGGGACAGAGAGAGACAGAGCATGAACGGGGGAGGGGCAGAGAGAGAGGGAGACACAGAATCGGAAACAGGCTCCAGGCTCCGAGCCATCAGCCCAGAGCCCGACGCGGGGCTCGAACTCACGGACCACGAGATCGTGACCTGGCTGAAGTCGGACGCTTAACCGACTGCGCCACCCAGGCGCCCCATCCTAAGCTACATTTTACTGGAAGGCCCAGCCAGCGAGATATTGCAAGAAAAAGAAACAGACTACAACAGAAGAAACAGAACTGTCCCCGTTTGCATACATCACTGTCCACATAGAGAATTTTAAGGAACGTGTAAAAGCAGCTGATTGAAATGAGTTGAGCCAAGTCTCAGGATACAAGGCCAACAAAGTTCAATCCTATTTCTATACACTTGCAATAAGCAAGTGATAACAGACATCTCAAAAATAACGCCATTTACGATTGCTCCTCCAAAATGAAACACTTAGGTACAAATCTAAATTTAAACATGATTGGTAGGTTTCCTGAAAGCACCCATGGAAGAAATCAAAGGCCTAAATAAAGGGAGAGGTACGGTGCTTATGGACCGGAAGATTCTACGTCACTAAGTTGCAAATTCTCCCCAGATTGATCTCTAGGTCTTGACACATTACCAAAGAAAATTCCAGCACAGTTTTTGTAGACAGAGGCAAGCTGAAAGTAAAGCCAATGCGGAAAGCAAAGGACCCAGAAGAGAGAAAATACTTGTGAGAAAGAGGAAGGTTGAACTTGCTCTGCATATGCACAGTCTGCCCTCCCTCTGGGCTCTCCCACCCCTCCTCTTGTGCTGGACCGGAGCGCACGCAGCTGCTTCCCCCCCAGTCCCGGGCCCCGGGCCCAGCGTCCTCCCACAGACTGTGACTTCATCAAAATGGGCGAAATTCTCACCTCCTTTCACTTCTGATCTCCCCGCAACTACAAGCCAATCATGGTCCTGAGCTGGTGCTCAGTAACGGTTTGAAGAATGAATAAATCCAACTGAAGCTGCCCCAAGACCTGATTCTGGTGATGGTTAACAGTGGACTCAGGGCGAGTATTTCTGGGCAGGGGGCGGGAGGCGGGTGGGGAAGGCTGTTTTGTGATGGCGGAGGTTTGCTAGATCAGCGACCCCCAGACCCCATCTGCACCAGCACAAATCCCCAGGAGAGGTCTCCTTAGCCGTTTACAACCGTCTACAGCCCTCCGAGCAGACTGGCAAAGCCCCTATAGACCTAGTTATTAAGTATCAACTGGGATTCAGGCTGGAACCAGCCCGGGTTTGGAAAATGTTTTTCAGATCTATTTTCCAAGTGTTTCATGAAACCCCAAAGAGATTTTTCCCAGGCCTATTTTCCCCAGAAGCTGGAAACCCATAAGTATTTGAAGGAGAACTTAATCCTTAGGTTTACCCTTTTGTTTGTGCTGAGCTCACCCCAACGGAACAGCACACGACGCCCGGGGGCTCGCACACCCCGCGTCTGAAATGTGCAATTAGACACTTGCCCTCCGGGCGCCCGCCGGGAGCCTCACGGCCCTTCTCAGACCAGCACTGAAGTCCAAGCAGGCACACGCTTGGCAGACGTGTCCCCGATTATTGGACGCAAAAGAAGTCCCCCGGGTCGCAACGAAACCAAACTGCACGTCCTGGGGAACCGGGACCCTCCGTCTTCGGGAAGGGGACAGGAGGGGCTCCGGCTGGCCTGGCCTGCCAACTCCGGCTGGAAGACACAGAGAGAGGGTCAAAGCATTTTTAAGCTTCCAAAGGTAAAAAACACCCATCGTAGAAACCTCGGGATACACGTACAGATAGGTTCTAGCCAGCAACCTACAAAGACAAGCACTGGGGATGCTTTTAGACGAGGGTATTTGCTCTCGGGGCTCCGCCCTGGCCTTCGGGGACGGGCTCCGAAGGTGGCAAACGTGTCACGGGAAGGTGCGGGGGGGGGGGGGGGGGCCGCATGGACGTCGGCCCTTGGCCCCCTGGGAAAGCTTCAGGCCGGACACGGGCAGGGCTGTCCTCCCGGTGGCCAGCCTCGTCCCTCCCACCAACTCCATCCAGAAAAACGGGAAACCGCTCTCTGCCCGTCCCACAGAGGCCGTGACATCGGGGTGGGAGCAAGCCGGAGGAGACGGGGTGTGCCACGACGGGCCGAACGGGGCGGCTCTGCCCAGCCCCGCGAGCTCACCTTCATTTTCCTTGTTTTCACCTGGGACTCGCGGTTCCCCCTCTGCTCCAAGAGTCTGGGAGCGTCAGGAGGACCCCGGGGGAGGCCTCAACGGGACCTGTTTCGCCTGGCGTTTGACTACGCGGCGCGCCTTCGATCGATGCTTTCAGGGCATTTTCAACCATGAGAGTTGGTCACTTCGAGGGTAACGTGGGAGTCGATGCGGCATTACTAAAATACTGGCAGGCTCCGGCCCTATTTCCGTGACCTTAAACCTCCCTACTGTGAATTCTAACACGAGGGGACTCTGAGCCCGCCGAAAGGATTGCGCTAACCCCGCAGTGCGTTTACGACCGTGACGGGAGCGCCTCGACCGGCGTCCCCTCTCCCGGCTGGTAGTCTCGGAAGACTGGGTGACAGTGTCCGCTGACGTGCACTGTAGGGTCACCCCAGGACCTTGCACTTGCCCTCCTGAGCCCCCCACCCCCCCGCCCCAGAGAAACAGACACGCACGTGCACCAGAAGAGGACTGTCTTATTAGCTTCATGCGGCCCCTCCATCAGCAACAGAGTCACCAACACACTGTGGTCCTCCCACGTGGCTCATTTCAGAGAACTAAGCCTGAGTAAAAGAAAACATTCAGAGTGCGTGGTATAGAATAGCATTTACGTGAAGGCCCAAACGGTCAAAGCTGTCCACCGTGGCAGTCCCCAACCGGGGGTGACTTGGGCCATGCAGGGAGGTATGCTGGGCTGTCACGACCCGAAGGGCTGGAAGCCAGAACGCTAAGCCCCCTAGGATGCAAGGGAGGCCACCCCTCGCCACACACAGAGAATGACTGGCCCCAGATGCCCACGGCGCCGAGCGGAGTAACGCAGGGACCCCGGGGAGCTGCGAGGGCTCCCTACGTGTCCGTGGGTGTGTCGGTACCCAGCCACCCGTGGAGCGGCACACCCCCCATCCCTGCGCTCTGTCTGCTGGGTGCAAGCTGCCCCCCCCACCCAACCCCGCCAGCCCAGCACGGCGCAGCCTGGCCATCGCCCCCACTTAAGTAGGACAGGGCGTCTCGGTCGATGAATTACTTTTACTCAAGTGAAATTAAAGGGTTGGGTTGCCGGGTCTCCCAAGTCAAACACAAACCATATGAACACGCAGACTCGCGGCAGCCGCTCCGTGCTCTTTCTCAATATTTTCCAAACCACCACCGTCGCAACATGTAAAAGCACAGAAGCCTCTGGAGTTTACGCTCTGCCTCCCCCCCCCCTACTCCGCGCCCAGCCCCGCCCCGCCCCAAGGTTTTATTGCTTTGGCACCATCACTTCGGAGAGCTCATCATTTCCGTGAAAGGGGGGCAGGGCCGGGCCCACCCCTTCCTGCTCCACACCAGCCACAAACCTACACGGGGCCGTCAGCGCTGGTGGCTGTGCAAAGACGCAGTGTGGGTCATCTGCCCGGCGGCCCCCGGGGGTGGGGGTGGGGGGGTCACTTCAGAAGAGCCGGCTTGCAGCTCAAGTCCTGAGCCATGACTTACTCCGGTCCCGTCCGGGGCAAGAGCGCGCCGGCGACCCCACGAGGAGGTCCCGCTGTGGCCACGGCTCCAGGAAGAGCGCACCGAGACCCAGACCCAGGACGCAGAGAAGCCATCGGCCCCGCTCACTCTGGTTTTCTTCGGGGGATTTTATTTTCCCTGTGATTCATTATTACCCCCGTCACCAGGACCGACCCCAACACACTGACAGAGATTCGGTTCGGAGAGAAAAACGCTCCGAAGGCACAGTAAAAAACGTGGGTTCTTCGGGCGCTGGCGACACAAACAGCCCAATGCCCCAAGAGAAACAAGGCCACCGCGTGCTTGTAAACGACGGATGGGCTCTGGGGCCAACTGGACGGACACCTCCAGTCTCTAACACGAGTCTCTAAGATGCAAACCATTCTCGGGTACTGAGACCTGCAGAATTCGAGCGAGCTCCGTCTCCAGGAGAAATGAGGCTCCTTCCTGCAGAGATGAGGGGGTTAGCGTTAACGAGGCTGGATTCGGCAGCTGGTGGCAAACACGGCAGCCTGGCACGGAGACCCGCAGACTCGTCAGCACCCCAAGGTGCCCCTGGGCCCACGCCCCTCCCGGCCTCCTCACTCGCACCCTCTCTCCTCCCCCTGCGCCTCCGCTCCCCTCCCGCAGCCTCACCCCTTCTGTGCCCTTAACTGGTCCCAGGACAGAATTAAAGCACATTTTTTTTTTTTAAAGCACATTTTAAAGTGTGTGCTGTGGTTACTGAATGAGAGGTGCCTTCTTGTTGTGAGCGTTGGGTTGAGGATCTTTATTTATTTGAAAACAAATCTTCGGTTGTTCCCAATCTTAGGTTGGACTCATCTTTGGTTTATTTTTCCTGTGTTCTGGTGACTTTGATTTTTTTTTTTCTTTTTTTTAAGCCCCATTAGAGCTGTAAAGAAGAGTAGACATTAAAAAGACACAAGGCGATGGGGCGCCTGGGTGGCGCAGTCGGTTAAGCGTCCGACTTCAGCCAGGTCACGATCTCGCGGTCCGTGAGTTCGAGCCCCGCGTCAGGCTCTGGGCTGATGGCTCAGAGCCTGGAGCCTGTTTCCGATTCTGTGTCTCCCTCTCTCTCTGCCCCTCCCCCATTCATGCTCTGTCTCTCTCTGTCCCAAAAATAAATAAATGTTGAAAAAAAAAATTAAAAAAAAAAAAAAAGACACAAGGCGAGGGGCGCCTGGGGGGCTCAGTCGGTTGAGCGTCCGACTTCGGCTCAGGTCATGATCTCACGGTTCATGGGTTCGAGCCCCGTGTCGGGCTCTATGCTGACAGCTCAGAGCCTGGAGCCTGCTTCCGATCCTGTGTCTCCCTCTCTCTCTCTGCCCCTCTCCCACTTGTGCTCTGTCTCCCTCTCAAAAGTAAATGAACATTTAAGAAAAAACAACACAAAACAACACAAGGTGTGTGTGCAGCCAGGCCCTGACTGTGCATCTGAACCAGAGGGAGGCAGGGGTGCAGTAAACTTTCTACGGAGCTGTTCAGGAGGACTCCCCTGGGGCAGTCTGTGTGGGGTTGCCCACTCCCCACTCATGCTATATTTTAGTGGAAATGTGGCCGCAGCAAATGTGTCTCTGCCGCGGTGGGCCCAGACCAGGCAGGAGACCCCACCCAGCTGTCAGGGTAGAACAGATGCATCCGGAATTGACAAGACGGCAGAATTCGAATGAGGGAACCGGAAGCAGAGTCAAAGCTAGAGGCGGGCCAAAGTAGGAAGTCCAAAGGTGAGGCATGAGCAGTGAGCGAATCCAGTCCTGCGGCTGTCAGAAGCCATCGGTACGTGGTCACCCAGGCAAAGAATGACCTGCAGATCGGCATTGTGGAGGCGCAGCGCGGGGCCCCACTGACGTCAACAGGCACTGAGGGAGGACAGAGTCAATTCGCATATCAGCAAGTAAATCCACATCGTACACAAGAGGTTTTCAATCTTTTTTTTTTTTCTTTTGAGGCAGTGTGAGTGTGCAAGTGTGAGCAGGGGAGGGGCAGAGGGAGAGGGAGAGAGCCCCAAGCAGGCTCCATGCTGAGCATGGAACCCGACATAGGGATCGATCTCACGGTTGTGAGATCACACCCGGAGCTGAAATCGAGAGTCGGACGCTTAACCAACTGAGCCACGCAGGCGCCCATCACTCTTTTTTTAAAAGCAGGAAGAGTAACTTTTTCTTACGTCACATAAAGAATCCCCAAATTCTCTAAAAATACATGAAAGAGGTTTGCTTTCTTTGAAGGACAGGTGGGAAACCCAAGGGCAGTTCACCAGACCCAACCTCGGAATCCCTGGGTGATGCCGAACCCAGAAAACCACACAGACGGCTGCACAACACAGACCAAAACTCGCTCTGGAGGCGCTGAAATACTTAAAGAGGGAAAAAAAAAAAAAAAAGCCTGTATTAAAAAAAAAACAAAAAGGCAAAACAAAAACACAGCGTTGAGGTTTATCCGGTTCCCAAGGATATCTCGGTTGTGCCGAGAACAACGTGAACGCTCCCCAAGGTCCATCCGGGAACTCTGCAAATGCACACACACAGGCTTGCGTTTCATTGGTCTCATGCGGAATAAACAAAGCCACCCTAATATTTTACTTGTTAGAAAACACACAAGAAACTCTGCCAACAAATAAACGGCAAGCGCTTCAAGAGTCAACCATGAGAAAGCGGGGCTCGTAAACAGAACATCAACACAATCACTCGGCGTGGAGTCCTAAGGTCAAAAGCGTCAGGACCTTGAATGCGGTTCTCTCCCCCCACCCTGCCCCTCCGCCCGCTTGTGCAGGTGCGCGTGCACTCTCCCTCTCTCTCAAAATAAAGATATAAACTCAAAAAAAAATAAAATAAAAAATACATAAAAAGCTTAAGCTCATTATTTGCTGGTTGTCTCCAAGGCAAGGTCACCTGATAAAACCCTCTTGTGTTCAGCAAATCAGGGCTTGTTAGCAAGTGATCTCAGCCACAATCAGGGTGCAGGAGACACAACCAGGTCTGAGGAACAAAACGTGTGTAACGGGGAGACATGGGCAGTACGCGCTGTCTGGGGGAAGCCCCTGCTCAACGCACAGCGACGCGCCCTTCCCGTGGGAGCGGGGGCGCCAGACCAGAGACCGAGCGACTGCCTGACGGGGCCCAATGCGTGTTGGCTGGTTCATCGTTTGCTCCTTAAAAGAACAAACGTCACCGTGTGGGTGACAGGCTGTGAAACGAATGTCCTTTTTCCAGGGAAATACATTTTTCTCCAAAAGATATAAATAAGACGGGAATGGTTAGTTCAGAAGAGGAATACCAACACTTACGCCAACAATAAACGAATCCTTGGAAGCCTGCTGAAGAAAAGGCAGGCCTGCTTGGCGATGTACTTGACTGGATTTCAATGAAAATCACCTCGGGGCGCCTGGGGGGCTCAGTCGGTTGAGCGTCCGACTTCGGCTGAGGTCACGATCTCGTGGTCCGTGAGTTCGAGCCCCGCGTCGGGCTCTGGGCTGACGGCTCGGAGCCTGGAGCTGCTTCGGATTCTGTGTCTCCCTCTCTCTCTGCCCCTCCCTCGCTCGTGTTCTGTCTCTGTCAAAAATAAATAAAAAAAAAAAAAACATTAAAAAAAACATTAATAAGTAATAAATGAAAATCACCTCACATGTACAGCTGGCTGTAAACAGGTGGTTCTCCTGGACAATTTTCGGGGCATGGTCTCCCTGGGGACAGTCACCGAGCCAGCGCAGGGACAGAAAAGGTCCATCCCTTCCATCTGTCCTGATGGACCAAACAGACCGTTAGACGGACGTGTCCGCAGCGGCACAACTTACTAACGGCGCAAGCTGGTCTGGAGGCTGTGCGGTGCAAAACCCGCGGGCTGACTGCGTTCATCCAAAGCGTCTGACTTTGACTGCAATCTCGGCCTCGTAACCAGGCATCCTGGCCAAGTGCAAACAGCCCGAGAGAGCGATAAACAGGAATTTCCGCTCAGAGAAAGGTGCAGGAGGGCGCGTGTGTTGATCACAAAGTTTCTGCTCGTGGTGCCCACGAGTCAGACCATGAGGATGCGACTGGTGATGCTGAGAAATGAGAGCGGGACGTTGCCATGAGCCACTCGGGCCGCTGGCCCGTGTGCCACGCGGGACAACGACAGGACCACCAACTCCGTTCTGAACGGGACCCGCATTCTTGGCTGCTGGGCACACATTCCAAGCAGGTGAGTTTCGTGACATCGTTCCCTGTAGGAGAACGTCCGTGTCTTGTTAGTGACCATTCACACATCAAAGACACGTCTCCCTGTGATACGCTTCCCGCGCCCCCCCCCCCCCCCGGCCAGTACGCACAGAGGCTTAAGAGCCCCCTAGAAAGACGTGTCACATGCTGACAAAGGAAAATCAC